TTAGCTACCTTTACCACCCATGCTTCAAATATATGTAAGGTTTTAGTAAGGCAGATTCAAGAAAAAGTTAGTCTTCATAAATTAACTTTAATAGTCTCATTCAATTGGAGTTTCTTATATCAAAATTAGTTAATTGTTTAGGTTATGGGTGAGATCTCTGATCATGCATGAATTAAAGGAAAAAGTACCATCTCAAGAGTTTGGATCATAAAAGTAAAAGCATTGGTGTTCCCTATTCTAACTTTTTTCTACAGAAAGCAAAGCTTTCAAATCAGTTGAGAGCAGTGGCGTCGCTAGGGAGGGGGCAGGGGGGGGCAGGGGGCCCCCCTACATCATGCTGTGCCCCCCCTTGGACCCCCCCAAATGCCAGCAACTTGCTGGCCATATGTTTAAATTCTATTCCCTCGGACTGTAACAGCCTGTGTGTCTGTTAAAGCCCGAGGAAATGCAGTGCTGAGGTGCTGGGGGCTGTCTGTGGCTGGAGGGAGTAAAACTACTACATGATTTACCTTGAGTGGTTGGACCAAACTACTTTTTCTACCTTATGTAAAAGGGTTGCCAGTCCTAGGTTTAGCTTACACCAAGGATTATCACTATAGAAATGTGCAGACTCCCTCCTTCTTGAGTATAATTGATCATTTACATGGAGAACATGCTATATGTTTAGAGATTAAATTATTGTTTCCCTCACAAAAATATTTACAAACATATGTATGGTACATTATCCATCTTCAAATGAAACTCGTTCAAAAATGAAAATATTCAATGTCACTATGCTACACATATCACATCACAACTTACCTTTCAAATGTAATTATCACTATTAATGCAGAGTAATGAGTGCAATCCTACTCTCTCAAGTGTTTCTGAGTGGATTGGATCAGTGTTTGCAGAAAGAATAGTAATTTACTGGATTATTTTGGTGCGAATAGCACAAACACAGAGAGTAAGGTTTTGCTTGTTGTCCTAAATCTGTGAGTTTGACACCATTAGTGTGCAATAGCTTTCATATTATACCAATCAACATTCCCTGATCAATACTAAGTACAGATAGAGCTAGCACAATAAACTAACTGTACATTTTCACTGCACTACTGATACATTAAAGGTCTGGAGGCCCATTTTTGTAATACAGATTTTTCACCTGGAAGGGTACCATCCTCATTTGATAGAGCCATCACTGATCGAAACCATCTGTTAAAGACAAGTTACACAATATTTCAAAAAATTACACAATATCTCTGCTCATCTGCACAGAGGCACAAACTAACCAGTAAACAGTACCACATTTTAATCCTACACTGGCATCTTTCCGACAACATTAGTAAAGGCTCTACAGGATTTATTCACTGACTAACAGTACTCTAAGATATTCTATCTAGCAAGCTTGGTTTCATCAAAATTCAAAGAATATAATTGCGAGTGTTTGACCATATGGGAACGTGCTTAAGATCTCTTACAATTGTTTGTTTGTTCTTGAGAAGTTGAGGAACTTCAACTTTAATGATACTTTGCAATTCTGAAGTCCAGCAAAGCATCATGACACTTGTAGTTCTACAAAATCTAGGGCTCTGCCGTTTGCCCAGCCCTGTTTTAAAGCAATTTCCCATGCCCATTCATCATGTAGTTAGGGTTTACACCATAGTAAGTGATTAAAATACAAAAAATAGCATATTGCATCTCCTTTGCACCACAAAGTAGTCTAGTCCTGAACCTCTGGTATTCTACTCAACCTCTACCTGTCAGGATTACTAGTTGATCCAGCATGAAGAACTATATCACACCTAGGACTAAAAGGTAACGTCTTACCAGGCCTTAGAATGGCCGGTCTTAATGATGTAGAATTATTAAAATCTTTATTAGAACCTGTATTGAATTATTGTACTAACTCCATTTTGTTCACCTTACATGACAGAATTTCCTGACAGTATTCAGTATAATGAATAAGAGATTGTATTTTCTCTCTCTAAGGACATAACTAGCCCCGGAGTTAGCGGATCTCCGTTGACTTGCAACATAATATAATCCAAGGCCAGGAGAACAGTGACAAAATGAAATGTTCTATTCATAAAAGAACCTTGGAACAGACCACGAGACTGACATCACTAACTACGTAAAATGACGCCCAAGCCCCCCTTTCCACCGAGTAAGCCTCGTGCTAAAGAGCAATGGCGACGACATCCCATGATGGGAGGGTGCCTCACTAGTCACTCAAATCTCTGAGCCAATTAATAATATTAATGGGTGGACACTGACATAGCCACTTAACATTTAACCCAATTAATGATGTTTATTTGTTATTATCTGATATTCAATGATGATGTCATTTTGCATATAAAAAGGCCTGCATGCCCACTTTTTAACTAGATGCTAATAAATTTCCTGAAGTGTTTTTAACCTGAACCGCATGTGTCAGTGTGAACTTACTTCTGCGTATACGCAATTTATTCATCTCAGATTTGGACAGGAACAGATAGACTTTTAAACATTTTTGTTTATTTCTAAATTAATCTACATCAATCTGGCATCCATCCAACGTGGGGCATCGGGCTATGGCCTCCGCCGGTAAGCCGTCCTAAGGAAGACGCTGTTGGACGGAGGAATCAGGGGGGAAGGAAGAGAGACTGATCACCTCTGAGTACACGGTAGAGACTTCTGCAGGAGCCACCGGTATGTTCCAGCCCCTTTGATTGACCCGTCCACGTGTCTGTGACTGCTTCCCGGGAGGGCATCAAAGACAGGTAATATCTTGCCCGGTGTCTTGTTACCCATTTGTTTACCTGCATTTAGTCTATCTGTTGCCTGGGTGTGCTAGTGGTATATGTTTTGTTCTTTCCCTCTTTAGAGATAAAGGGGGGTGGACCCGTGGGTGGTTGCCTGGGGGTCTTCTGTTGCCTGTTTTTACCCCTTTTTAGGAGTCACTTGGCCCAGACTGTTGGGAAAAAAGGGGGGGTGGACCTGTGGGGATTTTCCAAAGGGGTCCTGTTTTCCTGTTTACTTCTTTTAGGTACTGTCTAGCTAACAGTAGTAAGGAAAAAGAAGGGTTGGGGGATTCTGTGGAGGGGACTTGCCTCCTGGGGTTTCCCGGTTACGTCACTTTGATATTCTAGCTAGCCTCATTGTGTACGTTGCTCTGCTTGCAGAGGTTATGGTACCCTCCAGCTTCGAGCGCTGAGGCTGGTGGCATTCCAATTTATTTGTGGTGTGTGGATTCGGGCAGGCATTGTTGTCTCCATCACCACGGGGTAGTGTGACTTGTGGGTGGGTCCATAGGGAGCACTACGGGAGTGAGGATAGAGGTGGCCACACTTAGTGGACTGCTGTAACGAGGGAGGCATATGGATTTCGGGCCGGTGTTAGTCGTTATCCTTGGCCGCTGGTAGTGAAACTTACGAAAGTTGTTCTCCGAGCGGGGACACTACGAGATTGAGGGAGGTGGCTTGGTGGCCACAAGAGTAAAGGAAAGGGATTACTGTTGATGCATGCACTGTATTTCAATTGAAATGTTGTATTAAATGTTGTCTTAAGTGTGGAGTCATTCAAACTCCTGGGTCTGTCTCTACTTTCACTGTTTACTTTTCCTCTACTTCCTGTACTATTTACACTATCCACTCCTATTTCTCTTGAAAGAGAAGTGATTGGTCACACACTTCTCACCCCGCTCCAATCCGTGGTTACCATCGAGGGTACACGGATTCAGTGACTGGTCTACGTTTTGGGAAGACGCACTGGGAGGGACCCACCCTTCCTAGTGGCAGTCGAGCATTGTAGACGTTCTGTTTCATTTTCCTTTACCTATACTTTGTATATGTTTTTATACGCTTTGTATAGGGGGATATGGGACAGGAAACGAGTAAGCCCGCTAGGGGCTGGCTCGCGTGTGATTTAGTTGAAGATAGAGAAGGTGAAGAACTGGTTAAAAATGTTGCAAAGATTGCTAAAGTGTGTAAAATTGCTGTGCCTTCATGTGGTAGATTACAGCCAGAAAGCTGGCGTAGATTACTGACAGAGAAGAAAGGCAAGCTTACAGATAATGATTTATTGCGTACTGCTGAAGCATGGTACAGAGTAGAAAGGCTATCCAGCAGGAGGGTTGGGTAGAGGAAGAGATAAATCATAAAGGGTTAAGAACTGTATGTATATCATAATAATTGTGTTACTGGGAAGTTATCCCAGCCAGTGCCCTGTCGGGGGTTCCAGGAGGTGACCACTTCCATCATCCTGTCAGTAATGACCGAAATGTAGCTGACCATGGTCACCATCCCACCCCAATCTTAAAACGCTGTGGGGTTTTTGTATTTTGTGTTAGCCATTACCCTGGTAGAGGGTGGGGGTTTAAATGAAATGTTGTGTTTTTGCTTTGTAATGTAATTGTCCTTCTGTCTTGTTACTGTACAGCGTTGACATGGTTAAATTCGTGCTGGCAGGCAGTCTCTCTCTTGTTCCACTCAAATCCCCCTCTGCTAAAACACCCCCCCCTCCCCTCGCTTCTGTGAGACGCGGGGGGGGGGAGGGGGCGGAGGGGGGTGGTGACATGCTTGCGATTTAGGTCTGTCTCTTCGGTGTTCTGTAGAGTTATTATGAACAAGAAAGTTACAATTACTAAAATAATCCTGCTAATGTTTCCTTATATCAGAAAAGTGTCTGTGACAAGTGATGGTTAATATGTAGAAAGGATATATATATACCGATTCACGTGTTAAGTAACAATATGTATTAACTTTGTGTACAAAAAATTGATAACATGCTAAAAGAAATTTCTAATAAACAAAGATTTCTTGAACAAATGGTAATACAATTAAAGATTGGTCTCAAGATGTTTTGATCTAATTGAAAAGAACCAGAAAACATTATGAGCCTAACTACTAACAAATGGATAAGGGGGGAGGGTGTTCCAATCTGTCTTTATTAGATAATGTCAACCACCAAGATTAAAGACTGACTAACATATTTTTTTTAATGTAAGCCCAGATATTTTATTATTATATATGCATAGAAGTCGAGACTTTGGGCATTATAGTGTATTGATTCTAGATCTGTTACTAGCAGCAAGTGCTTAGCCTTATGCCTATCCCACGCATGCTTAAACAATCCTTTACTGTGTTAACCTCTATCACTTCAGCTGGAAGGCTATTCCATGCATCCACTACCCTCTCAGTAATGTAATACTTCCTGATAGTATTTTTATTTAAACCTTTGTCCCTCTATTTTTAAGACTATGTCCTCTTGTTATGGTAGTTTTCCTTCTTTTAAATATAGACTCCACTTTAACTGTGTTGATTCCCTTTGTGTATTTAAATGCTTTTATCATATTTCCACTGTCTCGTCTTTCCACTAGGCTATACATGATAAGATCCTTTAACCTCTCCTGGTAAGTTTTATCCTACAATCCATGAACCAGTTTAGCAGCCCTTCTTTGAACTTTCTCTAAGGTATCCATGTCCTTCTAAGGATATGGTCTCCAGTACTGTATACAGTACTCCAAGTGAGGTCTCACCAGTGTTCTGTACAATGGCATGAGCACTTCCCTCTTCCTACTGCTAATACCTCTCCCTATACAACCAAGCATTCTGCTTTTCCTGCTGCTCTATTACATTGTACATTGTCATTAACAGAGAGAAACTGGAAACCAGAAAGGATAAATTAATGTATAGCTAAATGTAAAGCTTAACAAAACCTCCATTATCTTTTTCATTTATCTCGCAGAAAAACAATGTTATTTGTCTATTTTGTAAGTTTTAATACATTATCAGTGAAGAGTAAAATAAGTTTTATCCCTTTTGCGAGACATAAAATTGCAATAATGTATATTTGTGATGTAAGTAAGAGTTATATTTTATGATAGGTTTAAAAAAAAAAAAGAGAGAGTCAGGGATAGCGTCTGTCTCTACGAGCAAAAGTCTGGTGTGGGAGATGTAGTGGACTAGCCACTGCGGGATACCCACGGAGTGAAGCGTTCGAGGCCTGTACAGACAGATGTGCTTGTTAGCCTTTTATTATTTTTCTCTAGGGAAAGCATAGGGCCAGTTAAAAGTTGTTGTACATGGACTATTTGCAGCCTCCATTGCATTTCTACTTAATTCTGATTTCTGATGTATCGTCCACTGCTACATACCCACGCCTCCATTCGGAGACCTGTCTGCTCCCTTACCTGCCCACCCCTGCCTACTCCTACTCCTCCTCCTACTCCACCTTCTCCTCCTTCTACTTCTCTCTCCTCCTCCTTCTCCTCCTCTTTCTCCTCTCCTCTACTCCACCTTCTCCTCCTCATACTCCTCCCTCTACTTCACCTTCCACTCCTCCTATTCCTCCCTCCCACTCCACCTTCCCCTCCTCCTACTCCACCTTCTCCTCCTCCTACTCCTCCCTCCTCCTCTTAACCTGACTCAATAAAACATGAAACACTAAAAATCGATATCAGCTCTCTACAGAGGGGGGGGCAGCAGGAGAACTGTAAATGGAAAGACAAATACCCTCAATCTCACACAGAAATAGGTGAGGATATCTCTTCTATTACTCCTCATGGTTGCTTTGAACAGATGAAAGAAGAAATAAGACACCTCTCAACAAGGCATGCAGTAGCTTTGCCAGATCCTGACTCCACTCTGTTTGCGGATGAAGAGGAAAGGTACCATACTGGATTTGCTGTTGCTACAGAAGATCAGGTACGTCAAATTGACAGCCTTCTCAGTGGCATGCAAATTGTTTGTTTCTGAAAGACAAGGCCATGCAACAGGAGTGCTCACTCAGGCCCATGGTCCTGGAGGCCGCCAAGGGCCTATTGGATTTTTCTCCTGCCAACTGGATATTGTGGCCAGAGGACGTCCCTCTTGCCTTCGGGCCGTCTTTGCTGCCAGAGAGATCATTGAAAGAACTGGAGATCTTGTCCTTGGCCACCCCCTGGTTGTCTTGGCCCCCCATGACATTTCTGCCATAGTCAACCAGGTCCAACTTAAGCATGTTACTCCTGCTAGGCATCTTCGCCTTCAATGTCATCTTTTGTTGCCTGACAGCATTACCCTCCAAAGATGTCAAGTTCTCAATCCGTCCACTCTTCTGCCACTCCCTGAGGGGGGTGTATACTACGGATTCATCATGGACGAAACTTATGTTTTTCTTCTCACAGGCACCATCAAGAAGGAAATGCATCCCAACCTATCCTTTCATGATGGACAAGCACTCCTTCATGACGGAGCAGGATATGCCTTCTGTACCATGTGGTACAAATCAAACATCACTCCTGAAACCTGCTATGAAGATGAACTCTATCATCTGGTCGAAGTAAAACTCACTGCACAAGACTTCTACTGTGATTTTGAAGGCAACAGTATGGTCTTGATTCATCTACCTCCGGAACTCAAGCATTTGTACCGTCATTGGGACACTGCCATTCCACATGTCCCTGTGACCAAGTTGAAAACAATATCATGGAATGATCTTGGGCCTATGGCAAAAGCATGGGCCACTATGGATGAATCACAGCTACAGGAAAATGGTGTTGTCAAATATCCAACAACTGACCACCTAAAAGCATGGCCGCGTCATTTCCTGGAGAATGAGTTCCAAGATTTAACCATAGTGAATGACTACGACCCAGATACACCTCATGACTGTTTTGAACAGATGAAAATGGAAACAACACATCTACCAACTGTACATGAAGACCCATTGGTAGATCCCGATCTCACCCTGTTTGTGGGCGGCTCAAGATATGCTGATGAAGAAGGAAGATACCATACAGGATATGCCGTAACCACAACAGATGAAATTGTCAAATCATCATCTTTACCATCAACTATGTCTGCACACGAAGCTGAATTGCAAGCCCTGACTTCAGCATGCAAGATCTCTGAAGGAAAGCGCGCCAATATCTACACGGATTCAAGATATGCACTGGGCGTGGCTCACGACTTCGGATTAATTTGGAAAACAAGAGGATTTCTTACCACCGCCGGTACACCAATCAAGCACGGTTCCGCAATCAAGGAGCTGATGGACACCCTCCTACTCCCAGAAGAAGTGGCTATTTTGAAGATAAAAGCACATGGAAAGTTGGACTCAGATGAAGCAAGGGGCAACCATCTAGCTGATCAGGCTGCAAAACAAGCTGCAAAAGAACCACAGGAAGTGGAAAGAAGAGTGTCCGGAAATGAAGAAACTCCCATATTTACTCTGCAGACTCTTCCAACTGACCTAAAAATCCTGCGGGAACAACAGGCTACAGTTGCCCCCGAAGAAATACAGAAGTGGAAACAGAAAGGGGCAGTTCTGAAGGATGGAGTGTACTCCAACAACCTCAAGTTCTGCCTCCCTAAGAATTTGTACCCAGCAGTCGTACAATGGGCACACGGACCTGCACATTTATCAAAGGATCTAATGAATACTCTTGTACAAAAATACTACCTCATTGTCCCTATATGAGATTCTATTTGGGACTGCACCTAGGCTGGGTTGCTATTTTCCCCAACAACTACAACTTCAAACTGATGTCTTAGTAGATTATGTAACTGAACTCGCAAACGCCTTAAACAAAATCCATGCCCAAGTTTTCTCTTCAATTCCAGATCCTGATTCTGACACAGGCAACCACAGTCTGCTCCCCGATGACTGGGTTCTGGTCAAGAAATTTGTGCGAAAACAGTAAATGTCCGTTCCAAGTTCTCCTGATCTCCCCTACCTCTGCCAAATTGGCCGGAAGGCCTAACTGGATCCACGCTTCCCATTGCAAGAAGACACCTGCCCCAGAGGAAGCTAACTCTATGCAACCATGTGCCTCTGGTACATTATCTCCTTAGTTGGCCTCCTTAAAGCCCAGCGGGTGGCCATCACCAAAGATGCTAGTGGGTACACCTTCTGGTATAATTCATCATGTACCCGTGTGGCTACTTATACTTTTGACTACTGTGACATCGTAGAATGCCCATTCCCCACGTCACAGATTCAGAATATCTATAGAGATATCCCTCATTCAAAAGACCCCTATGTTTGTGTAGTTGACAAACAATGGGGGAACAACTGTAACCATTGGGGGGCGGCGGGATGGAATGCCGGGCCTGCCTGGGGTTACAAACCAAAAAGTGTCTTATCTAAAATTGATGATCACGGTAGGTCCCTCCTCCAGAGAATGACTCTAAGAAAGCCCGGAGGAGGCATACCTATGAAATTAATCTTAAACATTGAGCATCCCAGCCCAATGGATGCAGACCAGTATGTAATGGGAATGTACTGGAAGAAGGGTTCCTATAATAAATTAGGACATTTCCACCTTAAAGATATGTGCCACTCTCCTGAGTGGAAAGGGACCACCCACATGGTCTCAAATCTGTTGAAACCACACATCCAATCTTTTAAAGACATGATGGCCATTGCAAATCCAACATTTGAAGATACCATGGCCGCTGAAACAGGTTTCAATGATGTTAATCTATGGTTAGAATGGATGAAATATAATGCCAACAAACATAACAGAACCGCATGCAATGTGTGTGGTGGTGCCCGGCCGCACCTGGGCACTGTGCCTTCAACTTTGCCAGTAGATATAGAAGAATGTGTTCTGAGTCTTTTTGCCTATCACTACAATTTCAATAGGTCCATATGTAAAGCATGGACAGTAGAGTATCCTCTTCTAGTCAAAGATTGCAAACCCCCAGATGGTGTTACCGTCTAAAAAGGTAATTATACCTGTTATGCTAATTATGATGGAATTGGTAAATTTGTGGGTAACTTCTCTAAAGGTTATTGTGCCACCTACAGAACTGTCTCTATGAACCTCCTACAATTCCACACTAGATCATTGGGGGATATTTACTGGTTGTGTGGGGATCTACAGCTGAGATCAAGAATGGATAAAGAATGGTGGGGGGAGTGTACTCTGGCTAAATCAATCATGCCCATACATATTATCTCTGACACACACCCCGATACTCATGAGTCCAAACACTCACCAACCAAGGTAAAGCGTGAAGCCCCAGTAAAAGGCAGTTTTGACCCTCATATTTACATTGATGCCATTGGGGTACCTAGGGGGGTGCCCAATGAGTTTAAAACCAGGGATGAAGTTGCTGCAGGATTTGAATCACTTTTTACCATAGTCACTGCAAACAAGAATTTAAATTGGATAAATTACATCTACTACAACCAACAACGGTTTGTTAATTACACCAGGGATGCCCTTCAGGGTTTGGCCGAACAGCTGCAGGCTACGTCCCAAATGTCATTCCAAAATAGAATGGCTTTAGATATGATTCTAGCCGAAAAAGGAGGGGTATGTAAAATTCTGCCTGACACCATGACATATTGTACTTACATCCCAGAAAACACAGGCCCCAATGGTAAAGTAACCTTAGCTATAGGAAAATTGAAAGAGCTCTCTGAGGAGCTAAAGAGGAACTCTGGGATAAAAGATCCCTGGGAGAGATGGTTTGGTTGGATGACAGGATGGCAAAAAGCTTTGATGCATATTGGTATAGCAATACTAATTTTCCTTTTTATCTTTGCTCTTCTCGTTTGTTGTGTCCTACCTTGTCTGAGAAAGCTCCTCTTGAAGACTGTAGACCAAGCGGCACCCACTTACGCACACCTCACAGTTGATGACCAAGATTTCCAAAAAGTCAACTCGCCCTGTATACCGCTACAATCTATCCCGTTTATTGATAAAGTGCAAGAGTTCTAGGAAGGGACCAGCTTAGGGACAGCATCTGTCTGTCTGGGAAGTCTACTGTGCGGAGATGTGGTGGGTTAGCCACCTCGGGATACCCATGGAGTGAAGTGTTCGAGTGCCCAGCGGACAGATGAGTTAGCCAATTAGGGACAGACGAAGGGACAGCTTTGCACTTTGCAATAACACCTAGCTAGCGGGTCACGGGGTTTCTGTGCCTTTGGGCTAACACGTCTTCTGATACTAACAAATAAAGATTATCTTTTAGAATCTAACATTTCATAAGGGGGACTGATGTAGAATTATTAAAATCTTTATTAGAACCTGTATTGAATTATTGTACTAACTCCATTTTGTTCACCTTACATGACAGAATTTCCTGACAGTATTCAGTATAATGAATAAGAGATTGTATTTTCTCTCTCTAAGGAAATAACTATCCCCGGAGTTAGCGGATCTCCGTTGACTTGCAACATAGTATAATCCAAGGCCAGGAGAACAGTGACAAAATGAAATGTTCTATTCATAAAAGAACCTTGGAACAGACCACGAGACTGACATCACTAACTTCGTAAAATGACGCCCAAGCCCCCCTTTCCACCGAGTAAGCCTCGTGCTAAAGAGCAATGGCGACGACATCCCATGATGGGAGGGTGCCTCACTAGTCACTCAAATCTCTGAGCCAATTAATAATATTAATGGGTGGACACTGACATAGCCACTTAACATTTAACCCAATTAATGATGTTTATTTGTTATTATCTGATATTCAATGATGATGTCATTTTGCATATAAAAAGGCCTGCGTGCCCACTTTTTAACTAGATGCTAATAAATTTCCTGAAGTGTTTTTAACCTGAACTGCATGTGTCAGTGTGAACTTACTTCTGCGTATACGCAATTTATTCATCTCAGATTTGGACAGGAACAGATAGACTTTTAAACATTTTTGTTTATTTCTAAATTAATCTTGTTCAGTCTAGCTGCATTGGCCTTTCTTCCTGGGGGGTCAAAAGCTCTCCTAAATGCAGCGACAAAAGCATTATAATTGTAAACTAACGGGTTATCATTTTCCCACAGGGGGTTAGCCCATCTAAGTGCCTTGTCAATGAGCAAGGTGATTATAAATCCAACCTTCGCCCTGTCAGTAGGGTAGGCGTGGGGTTGCAACTCAAAATGAATACCTATCTGGTTTAAAAAACCTCGACAAGTGTCAGGAGCGCCGCCATAGCGTGACGGGGACGTAACACGGGAAGAAGTAGCCACTGTGGCTACCTCTAGGCCTGTACTTATAGGAGAGATAGATGGGGTACGCATCTCCTCTGAGTGACTACTAGGACGAGATAGCAATGCTTGCAGAGCTAGAGCCATCTGGTCCATTCTATGATCCATGGCCTCAAATCTAGAGTCAGGAGAACCGACCTGAGAGTTTGTACCTGCAGGATCCATTGGCCCTGTCGTAATGTCAGGATCGTGACAGGGATCCAACACGCAGAATACAAACAGGAGATAGGTACGTATACCGGACCTTAGAATGGCCGGACTAACGTAAGGAGAAAGCAAAAGAATGGTCAGAGACAAGCCGAGGTCGAGGGAACGAGAGATCAGGTAAGCGAGAGACAAGCCGAGTCAAAAGGACAAGAGAGGAAAGCAGGGTCAAAAATACAAGCCGAGTCAGGAACCAAAAGACAATAGAGGTAAGTGCACTGAGTGACCAGACTAGCTAGAACCACGACAGGGCAATGAATCATTCCACAGAACCCTTTTTTATACCTTGGCTCTTTAACTGTTGGCTCCGCCCCCAACGAGTCCTGATTCGTTGTTCGGCACTTGGTTGCCGTAATTGACGGGTCGGAACGTGATTGCCGTCATGACGTCGGCTACTGAGCGCCGCGTCATAAAAGGAGGCGGAGCTATCGCGGCCGGCGTGTAAACGGCCGGGAGGAGTGCAAGGATCGGGTGAGTCAGCCCCCCTAGGAGGATGGACGTCTAGGTGTCTAACCTCCTCCGAGGTAGACACCAAAGGTAACCTGACAGTTTTCTACGCCGTCATGGTTGGAAGATAAACGAGAACAAGAGCCAATTACAGCCGGTTCAGGAGATGAAATATTTGGGGGCCATATTCAACACTCTAGCAGGCACAGTGCTACTGTCTCCAGAAAGAGGTACGAAGTTGATGTACAAAGTCAAAGACATGTTGGCATCCAATGTGACCTCAGCAGAAAGATGCATGAGCCTATTGGGATCAATGTCCTCCACCATCAGGCTGACAAGATGGGCCCAGTGGAGGATGAGGATTTTCCAGAAGAACTTCATCCTTCAATTCAGATCGAAAAGTCCACTTCAGCCTATCAAGATACCCCCTCAGGTCCATCAATCTCTGATTTGGTGGTTACAGAAGAAATCCCTGTTCAGAGGGTTTCCATTGGGGAACATCACATGGACAGTTATTACCACGGACGCAAGCCAGTGGGGATGGGGTGCCCACCTACAAGATCAGTTTATCCAAGGGAAATGGTCCTTTCCAGTAACAGAGACTCCCTCCAACCAATTAGAGCTTCTGGCAGTTCTAAAGGCTCTAGAGAATTTCCTTCCCCTCATACGCTTCAAGTGGATCAAGATCAGATCAGACAATTCCACTGTAGTTGCCTACATCAACCATCAAGGGGGAACAAGGAGTCGGAAAATGATGTCCA